CCCATCGAAAAAAATAAGTTGTAATGTGGTGGCGGTTGATGTATCTTCTCTATTACCAAAATAGGGATCTAATCGATACGCCAAATCTATCAACATTGCGCATGGTACAGCAGAATCGGTTGCACCGACGAAGTTATTTGGTGGGTCGAAATATTTGGAGTCAAAGTGTGCAGCTAGGACAAAACGTCCCGTCACGTTTACATTTTTTGTTACAATTATGTTATTAAAAGTTTTTTCCCCATATGGCGTATTATCCTTAAACGTATCCTCTTCAATAGTCCAACCGAGTGTTTTAAACTTGGTTTTAATGAACTCTTGCACCTTCTTATTTCCGTCGGTATCTGAAACTCGAGGAATCAATATCGGTTTTAGGTATTCATCGATAATCACCTTCAAGCTTTCCGACTTCGTAACGTTGGTTAATATTTTGAGGCCTTCCTGAGAGATAGTCCTGTATGCAAAAATCGATTGACAGTAAAGTATAATTAAAAATGACAGTGCGAGAATTTTGTTTATATGAATCATTTCGATGTTCCGATTAAGAAATAAGAAAATTAGTTAACGGTGTATGTATGTCACTTTAAACATTTCCTTTTTTATTTACAGAAATTAAAATAAAAATTCCGGTTGGTGTAAGGAGGCATTACACAGCATCTCACGGCCAATCAATCGACATCAGTAGAAAAAAAAAAATTATTAATTAATTAATTTCGCTCTTTTGTCTCTCGCGTCACCAAAAAATCCCTAGAGAGAACATGGCTCACGAAGTCGGCGCATCCACTTCTTACCTTGATCCGAAACTTGCTAAGCAATATTTGTCCGAATACAAAACTTCCGATGGCCTGTCGGCCGAGGAACTTATGGACTTGCGTGTCAACGGTGGTCTAACTTATAACGACTTTCTCATTCTACCAGGACATATTGATTTTTCTGCTTCCGAAGTATGCTGCGAGTCCAGAATCACGAGGAACATTGTGCTGAAGACTCCCTTCATGAGTTCACCTATGGACACGGTGACCGAGACTGATATGGCTATAAACATGGCTGTGAGTTACACTCAAATTATCGAGTCACATTTTGGCATGAAGATTGATCAATGAGATAAATATTGCGATGATGATCAATCATTCATCCCATTAAACCTAATGGTCATCTAATCACTCTCAAATTCCACTTGCTAAATGAAATTCATGCATTTATTTCGATGTAGTTGTTGGGTGGAGTAGGGGTAATTCATCACAATTGTTCTGCCGACGAGCAAGCCGAAATGGTCCGAAAAGTGAAAAAATTTGAAAACGGGTTCATTCCCGATCCTGTATGCTTAACTCCTACCCATACCGTAGCTGATGTGCACCGGATCAAGGCCCAATTTGGTTACAGTGGTATACCAATTACAGGTAAAATTTGCTATGTCTGAGTTTATATAGATATGTACTATATGTATGTAATGTATGGTCGTTTGACCGAAATCACGCGAGCGATTATGACGATCCAAAAAAAATAATAACTTTCGTTCTTCCGATTCGGTGTGCACTTGGAACACACCATGTGGAACTGAAATATTCTGATCCGTTCAAAAGAAAAGAGTAGTGGATAAATTTGATCGACTCATGGAAAGGATCTCACGTGATCTCTATTTAATAACTAGCAAATGGGAAGTTGTATAGTTTGCTTCTGGGTATCGTCACTGCTCGCGACATTCAATTCCATGAAGATCACACAACGTTGCTTAGAGATGTCATGACCACCGACTTGGTTGTTGCGCACGAGGGTGTGACGCTCGAAGAGGCTAATCAAATACTTCGGTCTAGCAAACGTGGAAAATTACCGATCGTTAATTCTCGTGGTGAATTGGTTTCTTTGCTGGCCAGATCAGATTTGCTAAAGAATCTTAATTTCCCGTTGGCCTCCAAATCTCTTCATTCAAATCAACTGCTTTGTGCTGCGGCCATCGGGACTCATTCCGATGATAGGGTTAGGCTTCAGAAGTTGGTTGATGCCGGATTGGATATAGTGGTGTTGGATTCCAGTCAGGGCGATTCGATATATCAAATTGAGATGATAAAGTATATTAAAAAAAATTATGGTGATAGGCTCGATATCATTGCCGGAAACGTTGTCACAAGAGAGCAGGCCGCTTCTTTAATAGAAGCGGGTGCCGACGCACTGCGTGTTGGTATGGGAAGCGGGAGCATATGTATCACTCAAGAAGGTTTGCTTTAATTCATGCCTTTTCTTGTTGTTACTTCGGAGTTTACGAATTCTAAATGGTCACGTCGTTAAAGTTATGGCGGTAGGTCGCCCGCAGGGCACTGCCGTATATAAGGTTTCCGAGTTCGCTCAAAAGTTTAATATTCCTGTCATTGCCGACGGTGGTATTCAGAATGTTGGTCACATCACGAAAGCGTTGGCTCTTGGCGCATCCGCTGTGATGATGGGCGGACTGTTGGCTGGTACTGCCGAATCACCTGGAGATTATTTCTATCATGATGGTCAGAGATTAAAAAGGTACCGCGGAATGGGTTCGATAGATGCGATGGAACGTATTTGTAACGTCCGTGATGCACCAGATAATGCCGGTATAAAAAGATATTTCTCTGAAAGTGATGCCATTAAAGTCGCTCAGGGTGTTGCCGGGGCGGTCATTGACAAAGGTAGTATTCGAAAATTCGTACCATATCTAATCTCCGGATTACAACATGGAATGCAAGACATTGGGATCAAGAATTTGACTCAGTTAAAAGAAAATGTGAAATCCGGTAAAGTTAGATTTGAACTAAGAACAGCCGCTGCCCAGGTGGAGGGTGGCGTACATGGATTGTATTCGTGAGTATAATTTAATACAACGTGCAAGCAATGGTGTTCCTAATTATGAAGCTATGTTCTAAGGCATCAATTTTAGGTATGAAAAACGACTATACTCTTAATTTTCTTTTACCCGTTGTCATTTTATGATAATTTAAAAATAAGAATTGCGCATTGAAACTATCATTTTTTTGAATCATTCAACCGGAACGTTCACAATTTACTGCGACGATAAATTATTTTTGATTCCTAAGAATAACTGAAAAATCCCAATTTTCTGATGATGTTGGGTTCCTAATTTGTAGATTTTTCATTGATATTACATATAAAGTGTACTTAAAGTGTTGTGCAATAATGACATTAAAGAAAAAAAATAGGCTAGACACGATTGTAAAAATAATGAAATAAATAAAAAGTCGCGTCAATATTTCTATCTGACCAATTAATACTAGTATTACATAACAATTTATAGGGTAGTTTATAAGAAACGATTAAAAGATGATCTCAGGGTGAAAGCTTGATCGTCGACAGCGCTTCTTTAAGAGTTTCGCCAGAACCTGTGAAAGAAAAAATATATAAAAATATATTCAAATGGACGTCCCAAATTATTGGCGGATAATTGATCGACATACCGTCTATGGAATTTAAGAACCTTATAAGTTCTTTACACAACTGTAAAGGAGTCATCAGTTAGATAGAATGAAAGAGTATGAATAGACAGTTGACTACACGATGTTAAAGTGATTACCTCGTAATCTTCAGAGTCCATGGCCTTTGATAATAATCGAATAGTGTCCTATGTGTTTTTCCACCTTATGTTATAATGACGGCTAAACGTAAAATTAGCATCGAAGAGAGAAAATTATTCGGCATACCTTGCTACTATCGGTCGATGGTTCCAATGTATGAAGCACCAATAAGTATGAGGTGGCAGTCTTGAGCAGTCCTGCGGACAAGCATTTCTTTTATTTTAGAAACATTTCAGATTAGGGTGATATAGGATTTCCGGATTAGGCCAACGTGGGGTAATTAAGTTGGATAATGGATTAGCTCGAGTAATTTTAAATTAAGTCGGTAAAATGATAGTTTAAATAAGAAATATTTCATTTACCTCGAACAGATCTTTAGGGCTACCGACGATGGAAAACAGGTAATCCCATAACGCCACTTCAGTTTTACGCGCACAACCGACAATGGCGTTAAGTGAATGGGGAAAGTTGTTGAGGAATTTCACGACACGCGGTAACACTGCACCTTCAAATTATTACAAAGAATCAAATGAGACGATCGCTCTTGGGGCGAAAAAATTTAGTGGTGACTTACACTTCACCGTTCCAACAGAGCGTCCCGCTTCGTCTTCCAAAACAAGATGCAAAAGCATTTCTAATGCATGTCCAAAGTAGACCAATTTTTGGTAACTCGTCGCAAAGGCCACCGCTTCTTCCTCAAGCCTATGGATAAAGAAGTTAGATATATGAGAAATTTCATTCGCAAAAGAATAAACTTACTCCTTGGTCAGCATATATCTCAATATATGTTGTAGGAATAGATGGGTCTAAGGTGAACAAGAAAAATTCATGTCACGATCATCAATTGCAAAGTAAAACTCAAAAAACGATAAGAAAAATTCGACGACAAAACTCACGTTAGTCATCAACCTTAGGACCGGAAATTCGAGTGATTGCCAGACGGAAGTTTGCTGTTGAACGCCAACAATTATACCTTTATCAAGCAAGACAGCTGAAAAGGAAAGAAAATCGAATTATAATTTTCTTCACAAATTCTTAACACAAGGCATCGAATACTTACACAAAGGATAAAATTCTAATGTGATACGCAAGCATTCCTTGGTAGCGGACAATAAAACGTCGTCCTGCCAATCCTTTGCCGTTTCTTCGTTCGACCATATATTCATCCATATCTAAAAATGATAACCCCCAAAAATTAAATTACAATATCAAGCGCCTTTTTAAATCATAAACTTGATGTACTTCTTTTTTACCTTTACTCCCTGACCATCGCATGCCCATAAAGAATTTTTTAGACTGCCTATTCCACGAGTGGACATCCAGTAAAATTCAATTTTATCAGCAAGAACGTGAAGGTCGTATTGCACCTCTCCCTCATCGCTCTGGAAATAGTTTGTACCAATAACATTCAGCATTTAAGAATAGCCCAAGACTCGATGTGTGTTTTACATACCCTTTTAGGATGCAACAAGACGAGTTTTCCATCTATTAAAAATATTATCGAAGCCGACTGAATGGTTTCAGGGGTGAACGGTCCTGATAAAATAAAGTTTAAACTTCTCGTGTCACAAATTTGATGACTACAGAAAAAAAAAAAAAAAATTCACTCACTATGTAATTTTGGCTGGAACCACGAGATGGATCTCACTCTAGCGGGAGCATTAATCACACCAATAAACGAAATTTGCTGACATAATTCAACGGAGATAGATCTACTCCCACCAGCGGCACCATCTTGTGATGAGGACATGAGGTAATGATACATCATGTTATCGACGCAATAGACAAGCAAAGCGTTGTCTACTATGCTTAAATATAATATATGACTAGGTATCAGGATCATTTGTATCACGTGCATATTATCTAAATTTGTATCACGCGAATACATGCGTATCTAAATAAATACGTAAGGAATTCAAAAAGTTAGTACATATGCTTCTCAATGTAAAAACCGAAATTGAGAATAGATGGAAGTACCTCAAATGTGTGAGATCGCACGTTTTCACAAGAAGCGACCAAGATCTGCTTGAACCACAACAATCCTCCACGAACCGCAAATTCCTGTTCCTAAATATAAGAATTTATCTCCGTGTAGGAATTTCATTCTACGAATTAACAATCTGAGATTAAATGTGCGTTACACTCTATATACCTGCTGTTGGTTACCAAATAGCTTCCAACGACCAGAAGAAACATTATAATGAGCCAACCCACGTCTCCCGGCGATCGCTATGTATCTGCCATCCCCGCTTATAGAGGCGTACTTTCGGCACCGAATAAATTAGCACGATTTTAATTAATTAGACGCGCGAACATTTAAATATTCTCAATCACATGCGACACCCTAATTTTTGAGCAAGTACCTTTATAGGCCAATTATCACTAATATACATGATTGGTATCTGAAATTGTTGAATAATCGTCTTTAATGTGCATTTTCGATGATGCAAATGATTCTAAATTAACTCGCAAAATTTACGCACCGGAATATGTTGCCAAACTATGGTGTCAGGATTAATTGTACTAAGGTCTTCCTGGTCACCACCGCGATAAAGCAAGAGGCGATCATCCATTTGCAAGAATCCTCTCTTTGCGTTATCCTACGAAATGAATGCGTCAAACGGTAAGAAAACGCATACCTCGAAGCGAGATTTATAGAAACGCAACTCAACTGGACTATGAATCGTCGTGACCGCTGATTTCGCAAATGGAAGAGTATATAGTTGACCTTCAGACATAATCGAAAATGATGACGGGTAAGCATATACGCGTTTGAAAACATTTTAAACATCAATCAAAGATCCTTACCTTTTTCCGACTTTTTGCCATGTAAAAAAAAGAGTTCGTAATTTCCAGAGCTCCAAAACTTTATTAAAGAATCGAAATGCGTTAACGATGATAACAGCAAAAAATAAAATAGTCTACATTTTAATATACACACCAGATCAATGACACCACGTACAACAGAATCTTCCGAATTCGGCCTTCATTGACAAGAGAAATATATTTTGATATATTAAAAATTGCGAATTATGTATCATCACGGGAGATTTTTTTTTTTTTCCTACATTGTGCGTGGCCAATCGTCTCTAATATTTGTCATCAACAATCTACCATAGACACTCCAAACAGCCATTCCTTCGTTCTGCCAACCCACCGCGATAGCGTGACCGTCCGATGTCCACGCTAATGATGTGACAGGACCTGTGACAATGGGTGCTACTGAAGTCAAGGGAATATCATCCCAAATATTTTACAATAGGCAGAGACTTATAATATCAAAAAGGATATCCAATGATGTCTCCAAGTGCTCGGTTATGGATAATTTATGTGAAAGCTGAATGGATCCGTTATAATTCTTTGCAAAGTAAACATATACATGGCCGCTGCAATGTTGATGATATTTTATCAATTAGATCGAGGGTGTGGTAAGACGTAGTCTGTCTAGATTTAGTAATAAGAATTACTTTTCTATGTTCAATATTCATATTAGACAAACCCTTGAGTTCCTACAGCCAACAAAGAAAATTTCGCATTAATAGCTATGCAATTGGATCTGATCTCCTGTGTGATCTCCGTATCTCCACTCGCGTGAAAACAATATCCCGTCCAATATACAGGGGGAACTCTCGCACTCCTGTCCGACTTCATATGTAAATGGAGGTAGATGACAAATAAGAAACACGTAATTTTGCTAAGGCTTGCAACGCATGATACTCACAGGAGGTCGATGTTCGTCAAACTGCACGGCGTAAGCTCTGCCATCCGTAGTAATCCATCCGTGAAGATTAATTCGACGATCAAATACGATATGGTTTATATTAACTAGTGGTATTTGAAAATGTCATCCGTTATTATTCATTATTAAGTATTAAGCCCATTTTTACATTGGAAATTAAAAAACAACTGATCTCAGTCGATGTCCCACGAATTCATTTGATTCGTTTATCAAAGAAATTCAAAGTCGCTCACCTTTCTTTGGTCCCAAAAATTCCAATCGAGAAAGTATGTTCGTTTTCGTGGAGGTTGGTTCACCATTCCAAGGTATACACTGGATCGCAGGAGGATTCTTTGTTGTGACAATCAGATATTCATCAGTCCCTATTCCGCTGTTGTGTCAAACGAAGAAACCCGTAAATCTTTATTCCTCTCAGGATTAGAAGCGATATGACATTGGTCGATGTTAAAACTGACGATTTCTGTGAAGTACAAGAAAAACCTACTCACGCCTCCATTCCAGCATCTATTCTGATGGTCATTCTAAACTTTAGCAAGAAAGTTTTTATCCCATTACCTTCTCCTGCTCCCGTAATGTAATGATGCGAAACTTGACCAAATTGGTACTTGTAACTTTTATCATCAAATGGGAGAATCTGATATGTGAACAAGCAACTTTGACTTGTCTTGAAATTGTATTAAGCAGCATTGAACGAGGTAAGATAATTGCAAGGTAAAAATGCGACAAAAATTATGAATTACGTTACTTGAACAACGATGAGACTTCCGTCGGGTTTCCAAAACATGTCTACATTTTCTCCATACTCTTCCAAAGATTTATCGGTCCTAGACACTTGCGATATTAAAGCAATAGGCTAAGCCAAACACAAAAAACGACTGTGAGTACACCATGGCTAACACTAATGGACTCGTGTTGTCAACGTTAGGCACTCACCCGAGCACTCCACAACTGCACTGAATCTTTGGTCAAAGTAATGAATAAGTTGCCAGCCTTATTTCGCCTGAGTCTTATGATCACGCGTGATGGGTGAAAGTCATCGCCAGAACTTTCAACTGGACGAGTTTCTAATGCCTTCGCGATTCCGCTTGCCCAGTACATGTTGCAATTCAAAAGTAACAATTAACATTATTACTTGATTCAAAATTTATATACATAATAATCTGTGTGCAACGGTAATAATACACATTCTCCGATATCATTGGACAGATATCGGCATGAAATTATTTTGATAAGGATGGTTATTGTCAGGTTGTCTGTTTCGGTTCCAAAAGAACCAAACTCGCGAATTTAGCTCAGTTGGGAGAGCGTCAGACTGAAGATCTGAAGGTCGTGTGTTCAATCCACACAATTCGCAAAAAGAAATTACGGGCACCTGTAAAAGTTTTCTTTTTCTCTGTACTACCACCACCACCACCCTCAACTTGCCCCGAACACTTTATTACAATTTAGAAAAATAAATTAAATAAATATCGCAAATTTGTTATTACACGTGATTATTTGCATCGATATAATATGAACTTTTCTGAAACACTCTATCCCTCTTGCTTTCATCCCAATCATCCTCTTTAGAAATTTGGTCGACGGTGATCAATAAACTCTTTAATTCCCCTTCCAATTCTTCAATCTTTTTCTCCAACTCCTCCACTTTCTCTTCATCGTATTCACCTAATCCAACGGCTACAGAACTAAGAACCTTGATTAACCTCCAAAACCTGAATACGATCAACAACCCTGCGACCTCTCTCTCCTTCCCTTTCAAGGATAATTCCAAAAGGAAGGTCATGATCACAACTGAAGCATCAAACAAATGGATAAACCAATGTGATCCGGTCAAGAAATATCGAACTCCAAAGACGAAAAGATTCAAAATGACTTCGATCACGAACACGGTATTGATCACGAATGCGATGATCGAGAGCGTTTCAATTACATAATGTTCCTCTTGTTCTTTCTCAGGCCAAAGAAAGGTGATCGTGATACTTGTCATCACACAGAAAAAGTCCGACGCAACCAGACAGAGAATGAACCAATGCCAATTGCGAGATTGCATGCGACATTTAAGATTCTCACGAAGACTTTTTTGTCTTGAATGATCTCTTTCCGGTAAAAGAGGTTCTGTTCCCGGGACATCGTCGCTTCGTTCTAAATTCATCGTATCTCGTTCTGCAGAGAGAAGAATTGGCAGTCTGAGTTATGGATAATGAAATTCCGGCTATGACGGCATTTCTCACATAAAGGTTGCACAAAGAGCTTGTGACTGATCTTCAAAATTCGATACGTAAAAAACTTGTTTGAACGAAACGGCAACCTGATCCATTTTTTCACGCAATGACACCTTTAACTTCACCCTCAAGGCTCTTAACGCGACATTTGGGTTACAATGTGACCTTCCGGCAAAGATTCCTGAATCCCGTTACCAGTTTACCGAAGCAAACCCAAAGAAAGTTTACTTCTGTCACAGCACCCGATCAAGCAGCCGCCGTTACCACTCAAACTCTTGTCACGCCTTCTCCTGGTATCCTTCTGTTGATATCGCCAATCTTTCAATACTACCTCATCCAATTCACTTATTCTCGTCCAATAATTTAGAGTCCTTGGGGTTTGAAGAGACTTCTGTGAAAAAAGTACGTCGACCTATCTATCTGGACATGCAAGCTACAACACCCGTTGATCCACGCGTGCTCGATGCGATGCTTCCATATTTAACCCAACATTACGGGAATCCTCATTCGCGAACGCACGCTTATGGCTGGGAAGCAGAGAAAGCTGTTGAACAAGCTCGCACCGTATGTTGATTGATTTTAATTTCCTTAAAAACTTTTGCTCAGAACCTAACACTTACTCCTTCCAACAATCGATAGCACGTCGCAGAACTGATCGGGGCGGATCCAAAGGAAATCGTTTTTACATCAGGTGCCACTGAGTCGAACAACATAAGTGTTAAGGGCGTTGCCCGGTTTTACAAGAGTAGCAAAAAACATATCATCACTACCCAAATTGCGAGTATATCAATGAATTAATAATCCATTCAATGTGCCCTTCTCGCCATTGATTTTCAATAACTGGTGCATTTCTAAATGATATTAAATAGGAACACAAATGCGTACTTGATTCATGTCGTGTCCTCGGCGAGGAAGGTTTTGATGTCACCTATTTGCCCGTTCAAAATTCAGGGCTCATAGACCTAAACGCCTTCGCCGAATCTATCCGTCCTGACACGTCACTCGTCTCAATTATGACAGTGAATAATGAGATTGGTGTAACCCAGCCGGTTGAAGAAATTGGACGAATTTGTCGCTCCAAAAAAATTTTTTTCCATACAGATGCTGCACAAGCAGTGGGAAAAATACCGGTCGACGTTAATAAAATGAATATCGATTTGATGAGCATATCAGGTCATAAGATCTATGGACCGAAAGGAATAGGTGCCTTGTACGTTCGAAGAAAGCCGAGAGTTCGACTTGAGGCATTGCAAAGTGGTGGTGGACAAGAAAGAGGTTTGAGAAGTGGAACGGTTCCTACACCTTTGGTTGTGGGATTGGGTGAAGCGTGCCGGATTGCAAAAGAAGAGATGCAGGTCAGTCTTAATGATCCGTGATATCCTTCGAAAGTTAAGAAATTGTTGATCGATATCCAGGAGTAATTGCCTAATGATGAAAAGATGCAAAAAATAAGCAAGTAATTTTACATTTGCATGCAATGCTTAAAAATTGCAGGGGTACTGAGGGCATTCCTGCTTTTTCCACCAACGACTATAACGATTTCTAGTACACTTATGACGATAACTCTTTGTTAATATTTTTTTTTATTGGATATTAGTATGATTCTGAGCGTGTCAAAAAGCTTTCTCAGAGACTTATAGACGGTATTATGTCAAAGGTTCAACATATCGTTCGTAATGGTGATCCGAATGCGAGCTACCCAGGTAATTTGTTAGCATGCCATATTATTTTTGGGGCGTTTTATAAATCCTAAAGATGCCTCTCCCATAGGTTGTGTCAACCTTTCGTTTGCATACATCGAGGGGGAATCACTTCTAATGGCTCTCAAAGACATCGCCCTCTCATCTGGATCAGCATGCACCTCAGCATCATTAGAACCATCATACGTCCTCCGCGCATTGGGCGCTGAAGACGACATGGCACATTCAAGCATTAGGTTTGGCATAGGGCGCTTTACCACCGAACGAGAGATTGATCTCGTTGTGGATAGGGTGGTTAGGCATGTTGATAAACTGAGAGAAATGTCGCCACTCTGGGAGATGGTATGTGGTACTTTAAAACCAATAGAATTAATTAAACCTTACATACTAATCCACGCGAACTATCAATATCTAGGTTCAAGAAGGTATCGACTTGAAATCAATTCAGTGGAGCCAACATTGATTTACCACAAAAAAAAAAAAACTTCTTTTATCTTTTTTTATAATTTTTGCAAGTCTTGTTTAAAAATAGCGGACTCTATTTAATATTAGCAATTAATTGATAGTATACAAAATATATTTGTATGCTTACTTCACGTGAATCCATGCATTGAATGAACGCTGATGGTTTGTACATTAGTACTACCGGTTGTTGTTTTCAAAGTGAAATTTGTAACTTTTAATGAGATGAATTAAATATTAAAATGCTACATTTCTTGGAATATTAACATCAGTCAACAGCAAGTATGGCATTACAGAATTTCATGAATATGCAATTACAATTGTACTATTGAAATTAAATTAATAAAGCGTGGTCTTAAAGCAAGTATGATAAAGTTTGCTCGCTTTGTTAGTCAAAACATCACTTATTTGGCAAACATGTAATAACAGACCTCATTGAACAATTATTCAAGATTTTCCACTGATGCTATTGGGACGAACTGCTCCGCTGTTACCGTGAGTGCTCGATCTAGATGGCACCGGAGCTTTGACCACTGATCCCAACCCTATAATAGTCCAGAAAGACAGACTCCTCGTGGTTAAGTTTGTTGAGGTAGAGGTATCCGTTTTATCGGCTTCGACCTTGGAATCTTCGGATTTGTTGGTCGGTGGTACATCCGAAGGGTTTTCGGGATTCTCGTTACCATCATTAACATCATTACTTTTAGTGGTATAGGTAACTAAAAGAGGGAACTAGAAGGCGAAAAAATGTTAAAATTTAATAATTTGGCTTTCTTCCTTAATGAAAGGAACCGACCTTAAACTCTTCAACTTCAGACAACGGTGTGATTTCAACAATGATACTAGTATAATTGCCTCGCCGTTCGTAAATGCCAATGATATCATTCCTTGGTGCAATAGAAGCAGAAGACTGAGGACGAGATTTTGATGGGACTAGCTCCTGTTCATCATATTCCCAGACTTCGTTGTAAGGTGTTATGTTGAAATGAGGGGATGGTATTGTAATCTTCCCATATTCTAAAGGTTCATCATTCAATTTTAACTCCACCATTATTTCTTCGTACAACGGATTAGAAAATTTCAAAACGATTTGCGTTTGTTGATTGAGGATAAGTTTTGGTAAGCTTGTTATAGTGATTTTTGGAATACTATTTCTGCAATGTGGTTTTAAGGTTGGATTGGTCGTTTACTCATTATCCAAACAACAATATAACCTTCCAATAAATACTCACAGGGCAACGAGTTTGATTTTGAATCGGGTTGCCTGAGCCTTTTGCTCGGGTTTAATGAGGATGTGTCGGCATGAGCGACATCGTTTTACACGCTTTGTGCGAAGGTGAATACGCTGTGGTTGAAGTCGTCTGAAATGCAACATAGAAATCGTTAAATTTTAATACTACTATATATATATATATATATATAGTATACATACTCCACTTTGTAGGGTTGATCACTATGTTGATTCATCCTCTGCGCCAATGTGGTAACTGTCAAGATATGAAACACAATAATTCAACAAATATCACAAATGTGACTGACAAATTATTAGGAGGACAATGTACTTTGATTGACGTCTTTCAACTGAACCAGATCATCCACTAAGCCGCTCTCACTCTCGACTTTTCCAACCGCCTCATATGGTGCAACATCATCAGACTTTTGTTGCGTATGAGCCATACTAGAGCCACCGTATCGACTGGTGAAACTACTCATTCCAGGAATAGATGATAATGAGGAAGGAAGTGAAGTAGAAGGAATATTGAGACGCAGGTGCTTCTCAAAATGCTCCTTGAGATGATCAAACTCTTTTACATCTGGCCTTTCATCTTCAGTCTTCTGCAATTGTACTGAAATAGATGTGATTTATTTGATCAGAGTAAATAGAAAATTTGTATTTGATCAACAATATTAGACAATATTTATTACAAGCTAATCCTGTCGCCTTTTCAAAAGTCATCCCTATCTCTTGAGAATCCCAGCGACAGACACCACATGAAAGAAAGTACGGAGCTCCTGTCGGTGTCATATTTAAAGCAGCAGGAGGGTTTGCAAGTGGAGGTTCACTAGAAGCTACGACCGAAAGAGTATTTTGACAAATCGGACACTGGAAGCAATTCCGTGCACACCTAGAATAAAATGTGCCATTTTATTCCTGCTGGTTTTACATTCCATTGAGACGGAATTCTGGAACAAACCTGTTTCTTTCACTCTTGACACTTGCAGTTGGTACCTCGAATAAACAATTTGGACAGTAAAAACAAACTATTTCCTCTTGTACACATCTCGGGCAACGAATTTGATGACAATCGTCACAGAAGTAAAGCTTCGAAATGGGAAAAGTGGAGAATTGAACGCGAGGAGAATTGACGTCAAAGTCGGGTATGGATTTTTCACTGGATTCATTAGATTTGCATACGTCTGGGCATGAACAATGATAGTGCACATACGCGAGCTGACGTGCGTCAAGTACTTGAGTGGATGACGAGGACATTACTTTCTCGATCAAGCTAATTTCACTGATGTCAATGTATTTAAACGGTCATGTGGCTTATCACGTGATTGGTTTGAGTCAACAAAATTTTCAATAAAATTAAAGCTTAAAAATAAAAATAAATTAAAATAATAATACTATATAATATACAGTATGGATCAAAAATAATTGGAAAAAATCAAAACTCATATTTTATTCATAATTTAATAAATAATTAAATA